CAGGAATAAATCCGTGTTGTTGCAGCCCAAGCCCCGTGCCATGGCTGTGTGTCCCTGCTCTGTCCCTGCCGATAACTGGGACTGCAGCTCGCAGGGAACGGTCGCGGCCCCGCCGCAGCCGCCCAACGTGCCCTGCTCAGCAACAACTGGGTACCAGTGAACACAGCCTGTCTCCATCCTCTTTACAACCTCCAGTTAGGTATTTCTGATGGTGCCGAAGTTTAGAAGCTCTAGTCATCACTAGGATTGTAAAGCTGAGTTCTTTGACATGATATAGTCATGTAGATATAGACAAAGAGTTTATTTATTTAGAAAGATGATCTCCTACCTCTGTGTGACGCTGATGCAGAGCATTATACTCCTTCTTCATTTCTGATTCACGTTCTTCCAGTCGAGAAACTGCCAAGAGAAGATCCCAACTATCAGCTAACTGAAACCTGGCTCTCAAAATAAACTATTTGAGAAACAAAGCCTTTTTTTTTAGAAATTAATTTATACCTACTGAATAAAACAAAGAAAACTGTGGGATTTGGTCTTTTTTACACTCATTAGTTTCATGGGTACCTGCATGTTCGCAATACCAGCAATTTTGCACCACAAATGCAATAAAACCACATTAGTTTTTCAGCAGTAGCCTGGTGCCCTGTAAGCATCTTAGTTTGGCAACAATTTATTGTCTTCTGGGACTGGCTCTTCTGGCTACTTAAGGAGCAAGTGTACTGGTTGAAACACCAAAAAATTCTGAGGGGAGCTTCAATGACTGCACATATTAAGGAAGTATTTGTAAAAACAAATACACAAACTAAGTAACTGAGTAACTAACTAATGTGATGATTTTTAAAAGAACGGAATATTCTGCAAGGAGAAACTGGAAACCAGGTTCCAAAGGCCCAAATCTTATACCTTGCATCTGGAGAGACTGACCACAAAAGAGAAGAAATGAAGCCTCTACTGAATTAGTGTGGGTACATCCCAGCCTTGGGAAAGCTCAGAATTTTACATCAAAGTAAGGGACAACCAGATATTTTGGGCTTTGCACAAATTACATTAAAACAAAAAAACCTATGCAGATTCTTTTTAAAGTAGCACTGTATGTGTGTAGAAAGCATGTGTATAATCATGTCTGGTTAACAGCTTTGCTTACTCTGGTCTGCATAGTTTTTGGTCTTCAGCTCCAGCTGTCTAGTCTGAAATTCAAGGTGTTCCACTTGAATTTGTAGTTCTTTCTTTTCCTGTTCCAGTGCATCTTCAAACTCTATGAACTTCTGCATAGGGAAGAAGTGGAGAAGGAGACACAGATGAGGATTACATGCAAAATCAGTTTGCCCTACCATGACCCTTCCTCTCCTCACAAAAATAGAAATTTGAGAGAATATAAAGTGAGGGAATATAAATTAGGAAATCAGAAATAATAATTTTTAAGTACTGTAAGTAGCACAACAGTATTTTATCAAGCTGAAAGATCTATTTTAAATTAGAAACTTATTGTTATCTTTAATGCATAATAAATATATAAACTACGGTCCAACATGAATTCTATAAACCAGCACAACTTTATCATCTTCAGCAATTGTCTTGCTTTGAAAAGACAGGAGTCTGTGAAGGAAGGCAAAAGCCTCCTGTGAAATGGAAAAGGTAAACCCCCTCCCTCCGAATTACCACAATT